CTTGAAACTAAAAAATCCTTTTCAAGAACAGGGCCCATTGAAGCTTACAAGCCTAAAAAGTTATCAATAGAAGAGGAGCTAAAGGTTATATTAACATCCAATAAACTAATCCATTATTATAACATATAAATAAAAGTATAATTTTATTGAAGTATTTTGGTTTCAAACTTTACAATCTTCCTGATCATAATGTGAGTCACATGTAAATTACGAGTTAATCACATATGAATTACATGTGATTCACATGCAATTCACATACGAATCACATGTAATTTACATGTAAACCACAAGTGAATTACAATATCAATTACATGTGATTCACACGTAAATCACATGTAACTCACATATGAATTACATGTAATTCACATGTAAATCACATATAAATTACATGTGACTCACATGTAAATCACAAACGAATCACATATGAATTACATGTGATTCACATGTAAATCACATGTAATTCACATATGAATTACATGTGATTCACATGTAAATCACATATAATTCACATATGATTCACTTGTGATTCACATGTAAATCACAAGTGAATCACATATGAATTACATGTGATTCACACGTAAATCACAAGGAATCACATATGAATTACATGTGATTCACATGTAAATCACAAGTGAATCACATATGAATTACATGTGATTTACATGTAAATAACATGTAATTCACATATGATTCACTTTGATTCACATGTAAATATGAATTACATGTGATTCACATGTAAATAACATGTAATTTACATATGAATTACATGTGATTCACATGTAAATCACATGTAATTCACATATGATGAATTTGTGATTCACATGTAAGTTACAAGTGAATCACATATGAATTACATGTGATTCACAAGTGAATCACATATGAATTATATGTGATTCGCATGTAAATAACATGTAATTCACATATCAATCACATGTAATTCATATGTAAATCACATGTGAATCACATATCGATTACATATGATTCACATGTAAATCACATATGAATTACGTCTATATGCACACATGCATTTTGTGTGAGTGTTCTTCGTTAATTATTTTTTTAAATTTTCTTGTGAATTTCATATTTAAATCTTAAATAATACAATCATATGTGAATATCACATTATATAATCACATATAAATCATAAATGATATATACATGTGCATTTTTGTGCGTGTTCTTGTATTAATCAATTTTTTTTTAATTTTCATGTAGATTTTGAAGAATTTTTGGAAAATATTGAAGAGAGAAAAGTGATAAATTGAAGAAAAATATGGAAATCTTGATATTAATAAATGATAACACTGTGAATCTTTACAGTTTTTTTTAAATGCAGTTTTTTTGAAAAAATTATTGTTTTTTTGAACAAATTGTAGTTTTTTTTAAATACAGTTTTTAAAAATTAAATTGCAGTTTTTTAAATAAATATTTTTTTTTCATTTTTTTTAAATTCATTTTTCTGAAAAAAAAATTAAAAAATCTCAATTTAAAAAAAATTGAAAATTACTTTAAAAAAATCCAAAATTTGATCTATTTTTTTAATTTTTAGAACTTTTTCTTAATATTTCCAATACTAAAAAATTTTAACATTAAATGAGATAGGTACGATGACGATCATTCCCTTAATGAATTCAATATTATAGGTTTTTTTTTTTAATTTACTGATTTTTAAAATTTTAATTTAAAAAAAAATTATTTTTTTTATAAATATTGCATTTTTTTTAGAAAACTGCAGTATTTTTTTAAATGCGGTTTTTTTTTTAAATTGTAGCTGTTTTTGAACAAAAAAAATGCAGTTTTTCCAAGAAAATTGCAGTTTTTTTTTGAAAAAAAAATGCAGTTTTGATTAATAAAAATTGCAGTTTTTTTTGAAAAAGTTACAGTTAATATTCTATTTCTTTTTTTTAATATATTGATTTTTAAAAATTTATTTTTTTTAAAAAAATCCAGTTTTTGTGAAAAAAATTACTGTTTTTTTTTAAATGCTGTTTTTAGAAAAGAACTGCGGTTATTTTTGAAAAAAATGCAGCTTTTTTTAAAAAACTTGCAGCTTTTTTTAAAAAACTTGCAGTTTTTTTTTTTTGAAAAATTGCAGTTTTTTTTATTTAAAATTGCAATTTTTTTAAAAAAATTATAGTTTTTTTTTTGAAAAAAATGCAGTTTTTTTTGAAAAAAATATTTTTTTTCCAAAATTTATGTTTTCTATAAAAAATTAAAAAATCTGCACTTTTTTAAAAAAATTGAAAAATACTATTTTTAAAAAAATCCGAAAATTTGATTTATTATGTAAATTTTTAAACATTTATATTAATAAATTCAATAACACAAAATATTAAACATTAAATGAGATTGGTAAGATGACAATCATGTCCTTAATGAATTAATTTTAATCCAACACTCCACTTTTAGTTATCGGGTTCTCGGGAAACTATTAGTCCTTATATATATATATATTTTTTTATTCAATTAAGTCCCAAATACCGGTAATCGTATTCAATTTAACCATTTGACCCGGTCAACATGTTATCCAACTTTCAAAAATTACATTTTTGGCCCAGATTGTTTAATATTTATTACAAATTTGGTCCAAAATTTACACTTTTGGCCCAGATTTTAAATTTTGTTACAAATTTGGTCCAAACTTTACCCCTTTTGCCCAAATTTTAGAATTTTATTATGAATTCATCGTAACTTTAGTTTTTTTTACAACTTTTTTTTCTCAAAGAATTGTTTCTAATATGTTTTTTCTTTATAAAATCATATTTATACAAAAAAATGTATTTTCACATAAAAATCTTATATTTTCTATATAAAAACATTTTTAAAAAAGTATTTTGTACATGAAATATCTAGTTATAAAAAAAGTTATTTATTAAGTATATATAAATATATACAAATCCGTTTTTATAAAAAAAATGTTTACAAAAACGTATTTTGCAAAAAAAAAATGTATACAAACACCTATTTTATCTATATTTTTTCATAAAATCGTGTTTGTTTACATTTTTTTATAAAAACGTGTTTGAATAGTTTTTTATATATGATGAAGTGATGAATCAAGTATGAATCAAATCAGAGTAAAACAAATGTAGTTTGAACACGAGATGTAAATATAATCTGGTTTCAGCTCCATTATGCTTTCAATTCTTACACAGAGAACGTTTACAAGTTCATACGCAATCTTACTTGTATCTCTAAGTAATGTCCCTATTTATAGGAAACATGAAAGCACACAAAAATTTACAAGGACTAAACATCTAAGCTTCGTTACAAAAATGCCTTGTAAAATAACATTAGGTCTTCGACATATTACAACAGATCTTCGACCATTACAATATAATACGTGTTTGTATACATTTTATAAAATGTATACAAACACGATTTTATAAAATATATACAAGCACGTATTATATAAAAAATTATTCAAACATGTTTTTATAAAATATATACAAACACGATTTTATAAAATGTATACAAACACGTATTATATAAAAAATTATTCAAACACGTTTTTATAAAAAAATATAAACAAACACGATTTTATAAAAAAAATATAGATACACACCTATATATATATATATATATATATATATATATATATATATATATATATATATATATATCAAGGTGATAGGTGTTTGTATATATTTTTTTGTAAAATACGTTTTTGCATACATTTGTTTTTATAAAAACGGATTTGTATATATTTATATACTTAATAAATACATATTTTTATAACTAGATATTTCATATACAAAAAAAATTTTAAAAAAAGTTTTTATATAGAAAATATAAGATTTTTATGTGAAAATATGTTTTTTTTTATAAATATGATTTTATAAAGAAAAAACATATTAGAAACAATTTTTTGAGAAACAAAGTTGTAAAAAAACTAAAGTTAGGATGAATTCATAATAAAATTCTAAAATTTGGGCAAAAAGGGTAAAGTTTGGACCAAAATTGTAACAAAATTTAAAATCAGTGCCAAAAGTGTAAATTTTGGACCAAATATGTAATAAATTTTGAAATGTGGGCCAAAAATGTAATTTTTGAAAGTTGGATGACCTGTTGGCCGAATCAAAGGGTTAAATTGAATACGATTACCGGTATTTGAGAGTTAATTGAATTAAAAAAAATATATTATGACTAAATCGATTATGGAGCTAATATGTAAAGACTTTATTACAGTTTTCCCATATATATATATGGGAAATTCCGAGTGTTATACTCGACTTCCTAGAAACCGAACTTGAGGTACAAATTTGCTATCTTTAGTTGGAAATCTCAATTACACAAAGATCAACGTGCAGATTTCAACTATTCATAACACAAAACTTGTTTATGGACAACACCAATGAAGAAAAATATTAGTATATTAACATGCCTGGACATCACTAATTAACGTAAAATCTTTTCTTCTAGCTTCTTAGTCTTTTGCTTTTGCCTTAGCTTTAGTAGTGTTCTTATCTTGTATAATTTTCTTATCTTAACAAACTTTACCCGGGGAAATTGCTTAAGCTAAAAAAATATTGACAACTCAATAACAAAAAGTACAAGTATTAGGCAATCCCTGTTTTACTTCAAAAACAAGACTGAAATTTGATTGTTGTTTGTAACATCTTTTCACGCACGAAAACACAACACAACAGAGAGTTTAACAAAGAAACCAAACACATTTGCAGAAATTGGATGGCGAGAATGCTAGGTTGGCGGATTATTTCGATTTGATTTCTGGAACAAGCACCGGAGGCCTAGTGACAGCAATGTTAACCTCCCCTAATGAAGAGAAGCGACCTATATTCGCAGCCAAGGATATCACAAACTTCTATCTCGAACATTGTCCTAAGATCTTTCCACAACATAAGTATATATTTTGATTGTATAGAAAGAAAGGCATGCATGCTTTTTGAGAATATTGCTAGCTAACAGTGTTTCTTCTTGTAGGAATCCGTTTGGTCCTGCTGAAAAAGCGTTGAAAGCTCTATCTGGTCCAAGGTACGATGGAGTTTATCTTCATAGACTTGTTCGAGAAATACTGGGGAACATGTACACGTCTCCATGAATCACTGACGAATGTCGTGATCCCAACTTTCGATATCAAACGCTTGCAGCCAGTCATCTTCTCAACTTACCAGGTTAATTTAAAAAAAAAAATCTTTTTGATCAAATCAAGGTGCATGGGATGTGTGTGTCTGCATATGTGTGTGTTTTCCTTTCAGAAGAAAATGACCTACTCGTGTGTCCTACACTTGATGCATGTTTCAGCTGAAGAAAACCCCAAGTCTAGATGTGATGCTGTCAGATATATGCATCGGAACATCAGCGGCGCCAACTTATCTTCCTTGCCATACTTTCAGAAACGAAGATTCTGAAGGGAATCTAATTGGAGAGTTCGATCTCATTGATAGCGGGGTGACTGCAAATAATCCGGTATCTACATTTGCACTGATCTTTTAACAAAGACGTATGTAAAGCTAATTCTAATGGATGCATGTATGTTAATTTGCAGACTTTAGTCGCAATAAATGAAGTGACACAGGAGATAAAAGGAGGCATTAAAACAGGTGGTTTTCTAGTATTGTCCTTGGGGACAGGCTCACCAAAATTCATAGAGAAGTATGACGGTAATACATCGTCTCATTGGGGTGTTGTCTGGTGGCTGGCGGGTGGTGGCTCGATTCCACTGATAGATGTATTTACTCAAGCAAGTAGCGGAATAGCCGACTATCATACCTCCACCTTCTTGCAAGCTCTTCATTTGGAAGGGAAGTACCTTCGAATTCAGGTATAATTAAATTAATGACTGTTTTATGACTATCTATAACCATGCAAAAAAAAAAAACGATATATGTCACTTATGTTTGAAATGGTTCAGGATGACACTTTAACAGGAGACGTCGCTTCGATGGATCTGGCAACAACAAAAAACTTAGAGGATCTGGTTCAAGTTGGCAAAGAATTATTGCAAAAACCACCGATGTTGGGCTTGGGCAGACAACCTTTTTCTGATAGCAGTACCAACGAAAAAGCTCTAGTAAGGTACGTAATTAGTTTATACATACATATAAAATGCTCATACGTTGAGTTTATGCCATGATCGATCAGGTTGGCGAAAATGCTGTCAGAGGAAAAGATTAAGAGAGAACACAACAATAGCCCAGAAGTGCAGATCAATGCTTCAGTTTCAAGGAGAACGGGAATGTATTTGAGGGCAGTTTCTCGGTCCCTCCCGAACTTGCAGCAAATCACTACATAGGAAAAAGCAATGAAAGCATGCTTATAACCGCGACGTCTGTCGTTGCTGTTTATTATATTAGTCGTAATTATTTCCTCTCAATAAACTATGTAAATAAAAGTATGGTTTTCCATTTTTATTCCTAAAGTTAAACGAATATAAATAAAAATTTGGTTTTTCGTTTTTATGAACGCATTCATGTAGGACATTTTGAATTTATATATTTGGCCTCTTTTAATTCTCTTTCCTAATTTCCTTCTTCGATTTTGACATTTGTCTTAGTCTATATACACTACAAGAAATGTTGGCATTAGCGGCGACATGTAATTGACACGTTACATGTCGCCGCTAATGCCCTGCGTCGCCCCTAAAGGCGTCGCCGCTAATACCAACCTAATAGCTATTCGCGTCAAAAGAGCCCCATCCGTCCGATTTGTTTTCAATCCAAGGGTCGTAGAGGAACGAAAAAATGCGCTGACTTTTCCCTCCATGGTGTCGACGCTAAAGGCCTTTACAAATAATCCCCCATCAGCTTCCTTTTCTCAATTTCTGTGTCGTTCATTTCTTGTGTGTGCGTCTCTCACTGTGAAAACCTGCGACGAACTTAAAGGAACGACGACAAAAGCGACAATCCGGCGTCCCCAGCCGCTCCTGCCACCACAAGACTGCCACACCGCCGACCACCTCCATTACCGGCGACCTAGAGGTAATCGCTACAGGCAACCTATAGCTCAAATTCCGAATTTTTGACATTAAAGGTCGAATTCCTACCTATTTTCTATTATTTTTCTGTTTTGGTGCTAATTTGGATGGTAAATTGGTAGTATTCTTCAATTTTGCTGTGTGTTTATTCAATTTTGTTGTGTGGTTATCTTTGGATTGATGAATATGGAAGTGTTTATACATTTTGTGGGATTATATATGTTTTTTCAGATTTGTGGGAAGTGTTTATGCATTGTATATGTTTTTCTGATTTATGTTTATACCACATTGGCTTAAAAATGAAATTGGGCATGAAATTGAAATTGGATATTGAAATTGGACGTATATATACATTTGTTTGATTTTGTATTTAGTTGTATACATTTGTATGAAATTGAAATTGGATGTATGCATTTGTTTGAAATTGGATGTATACATTTATTTGAAATTGTATGTTTAATTGTATGAAATTGGAATATGCAAGTTGTATTGTATGTCTAAAATGAAATGAAAATTGGAATTGAATGTATTTTATACATTTATGATTATGTGATATTTAGGATTAATAGTTTGGCTTAATTAGGTTATTAATAGCAACTTACTTCTAGTAATGTATTGTATATGGTTTCAAAGTGCTTAATTTTGTTAGTGACTTAATGTTGGTCATTACAACTTTGGTTTAATTAGGTTATTAATAGTTTTTATTTTAAAAAAATCAATAATAAAAATAATAAATTAATTGTAAAATCAAATTAAATTAGTTTTAAAATCAAGTTAATATTAATATTAAAATAAAATAAAATTAGTTCAAAAAATTAAACTAATAACAAAAAATAAAATATTAAGTTAATTAAAAAATCAAATTAATTTACCTTTTGAATAAAATTAAATTAATTACATAATAAAATTAAATTAATTATAAAATCAAATTAATATTAATATTAATATAAAATAAAATTAATTATAAAATCAAATTAAATTAATGTTAAAAAAAACCAATAACAAAAAAAGAAAATATTAAATTAATTATAAAATAAAATTAAGTTAATTTTAAAACCAAAGTGCTTAATTTTATTAGTGACTTAATTTTGGTCGTTACAACTTTAGCTCAATTAGGTTATTAATAGCAACGTACTTCTAGTAACTTTAATTTAATTATAGAATAAAATTAATTTAATTTTAAAAAAATCAATAAAAAAATAATAAATTAATTGTAAAATCAAATTAAATTAGTTTTAAAGTCAAGTTAATATTAATATTAAAATAAAATAAAATCAGTTTAAAAAATTAAACTAATAACAAAAAAGAAAATATTAAATTAATTAGAAAATCAAAATAAGAATCAAATTAATATTAATATTAAAATAACATAACTTAATTATAAAATCAAATTAAATTAATGTTAAAATCAAATTATGATGTTATAATTAACAAAAATCAATAAAAAGAAAATATTAATAAAAGTTGGACTACTAACAAAAATCATACTAGAAATAACTCCCGTGTTGGAATACTTTTTAAATTATCGACTTTATGAATACTCTACTTGATTATTGCTTCCCGTAGAGTAATCCTTAAACATTAAACTATGTTTCAGTTGCATCATGTCTATTGATAAAAGCTGGACTCCCGAGTTCCAGCTAGGACTCGACTCTTTTGTCTAGAGATCCATGTTACACCTAGATTGTAAAGGTGAAACCAGATGTCCATGTGAGCAATGTGATAAGCGTTACTTCATGGATCCGAAAGCAATAAGACGTCATGTTCGTATATATGTTTTCAGTCGGTCATACTAAACATGGATATATCACGGTGAACCTTTAATTCCTCCGGTTGTAGATGTCGTGTCGCCATGTAACGAGATGGCTGATGTTATTGTCGATGTTATGTGGGAGTCGAGAGAAAATGATACCAACATCGATGAAGGAACCTCGAATACAAGGGGTAATGATGATTTTGAACAGTTGTTAGAGGCAGTCGAAACCAAGTTATATCCTGGTTGTACGTTTTCTTTACTTGATTTTCTAGCAAAGCTAATGCATATCAAGGTCAACAACAAATGGACCGATAGTTCATTTGATCAACTCCTTGAGTTGTTGCATTCAGCATTTCCACAAGACAATAAGGTTCCTCGTTCATATTATCTAGCCAAAAAGAAACTAAAGAAGTTAGGTTTGGGGTACGAGTCAATACATGTGTGCAAAAACGATTGTTTTCTCTTCTGGAAAGAAAACGAGTCATTGCAAATTTGTCCCGTTTGTGAAAAGAGTCGTTGGATTGATAAAAACACCAAGGGTAAGAAGGTGGCTCATAAGGTGTTATGGTACTTTCCAGTGCCCCCTAAACTACGACGTTTGTATTGTTCAATGTACACTTCCAAGAATATGATATGGCATAGTACCGCGAGATCAGAAAATGGTGTGATGCGTCATCCCGTTGATGGAGAGTCTTCGCAAAAATTTGATGTAGATTACCCTGACTTCTTGAGTGAACCTCGCAACATACGCCTAGGGCTAGCAACTGATGGATTTAATCCATTTGGTAACATGTGTAATCCGCATAGTACGTGGCCTATCGTACTCACCACATACAATTTGCCACCATGGCTTTGTATGAAAGAGTCATCGTTCATGTTGGCCTTGTTGATTCCCGGCCCTAAAGCACCTGGAAAGGACATAGATGTTTTCCTTAGGCCGTTAGTGGAAGAGCTTAAGTTTTTATGACACTTGGGCGTACGTATTAAAGATACAGCGACAAACACATTCTTTACGATGAAAGCTATGTTGTTATGGACAATAAACGACTTTCCCGATCGTAGTAGTTTATCGGGTTGGAACGGACAGGGGTATAAAGCATGCCCGACTTGCAATGAAGACACTCCCTCGTACCGTGCAGTAAATAAAGTCGTTTATATCGGTCATCGTCGGTTCTTAGATGCTTATGATCCATTAAGGATGAGTTTGATGTTTAACGGGCAACCCGAGACAAGACCCACTCTGAGACACTTTACTGATGAAGATATACAAGAGCAACTAGGTCGTCTACTACTTCGTTAACCGGGTAAACATCCTAATACTCTCAAGCAAATCATGGATCAACAAGTATTCGAGTTGAACTGGTCGAAACGTAGCATATTTTTCGAGCTCGAGTATTGGTCTTCTCTACAGCTTAAGCACAACTTTGATGTGATGCATGTTGAGAAAAATGTGGGTGAGAGTCTTTTGGGTACTTCTATGATGAATGATAAGAGTAAAGACACATCAAATGCACGTGAGGACTTGAGAAATCTGAATATCCGACGTAATCAATGGTTGCAAAAAAAAGGGTAACAAGTTCACTAGACCACATGCAAGCTACTCATTCAAGAAACCTGACCGCAAAATCTTTTGTCAATTTATAAGAGATGTTAAATTGCCAGATGGGTTTAGATCTAACATCAGTAAGAAAGTGGTTAATAATGATACTAACATTATTGGGTTGAAATCTCATGACTATCACATTCTTATGCAACTTTATTATGATATATTTATTAGCTATTTTCATTAATTTATTATAAGTTATCGTGGCTAATATTTTTAATTGTATTTTTTTGTCGAGCTTCCAAAGAAAAGAAGGAGCTTGTCAAAGAATATAGAACTAGGAAAGTGGATACGGGCAAACAAGGGAAAGCCTGTGGATTTAGATTTCGACAGGGAGATCACATATGCCAATTGGTTCACACATGAAATTGGGAGGTATTTGTGAAACAACGTCCCTTTCAACGTATCTGGTTGGGACAATGTTTCCCCCGCGTTAAGGAATGCGACATTTGTGCATCTAAAGGTAACTTGGATAATATTTTAAGTTTAGTTGTGATTGTTATTTAATTAACTAACTTTTTTGTATTTGTAGAATAAGTTTGATTTGGATAAGGTTAACTTGGATTCGGAGCGTGCACAATTGTTGCGGAGCATTGATTCGAGTCTTACAAAAGTTACAAAGGCCGAAAAAGTAAAGCCCATTCTTATTTTAAGCAAATAGGGGGGCCTACAGATATCCCAATGGCACTAAACAACCCCCTGGTATGTCACCTGAAAATAGGGCGAAGGCAGTCGAACATTTTCAATCTCCCGAATTTTTAAGGCGTTCGGCGTCAAACAAAGAAGTCCGTGCAAAACAACTTGTTGTAAACAGAGGGGGTCGAGCTCGTACATCAATGCATGCTTCAAAGAAGTAAGTTATGATATATTTAAATGTTTATTTAAAGTATAATTAATCTAATTTTTAATGTTAAATAAGATATCACTCGAATCGAAGCATTTCGTAAGGCTAATTCCAAT